TTCTCTCTTCTCTCTTCCTCTCATTCTCTTTCTGTCCGATCTCTCTCGTCTTCCGTCTCGTCTCTCTCTCTTTCTCTCTCTCTACTCTGTCGCTCTCTGCACACCTTCTCTCTCTCGTCTCGTGTGCGTGTGCGTGTGCGTGTGCGTGTGCGTGTGCGTGTGTGTGTGTGTGTGCGTGTGCGTGTGGGTGTGGGTGTGGGTGTGTGCGTGTGTGTGCGTGTGTGTGTGGGTGGTTATCCATGTACGTACACGACTACACGCGTACATGTCAGCGTAGGTGAAGACCACATGCATGTGCCAATCTTCTATATTTATGATAGCAAGATTACATCATTGCACATATGAATATATATATATATACATATGTGTGTGTGTGTATATATATATATAGCACATACGCTGTGGGTGTCGATTTATAGCGCATATATATATATATAGTCAAGAGCGTATTAAGAATCTTCTTAAGACGCTCTTGATATTGTGTATGTACACGGTATAAATCGATATACATCAGGAGTAGATAATAGGGAGGGATAATAGGGATAGGATTCCCTATTATCTACTCCTGATATACACACATAACGTGCTGCTGCTGCTGCTGCTGCTCCTGCTGCTGATAATAACTGCACTGGTAAAGCGAATTGCTCACAGTCTGTGCGCTGTCTTGCACAGTCTCTTGCTCAGTCTGTGTGCTCGTACATTATGCCGTACGTTGTAGAAAGCTAGGGAAATGAGAGCGAAGGTTTCATACTAATTTCGCATTTCGCTGGGACTCAGGCAGCGTCTGAACCCCACTACCTTTACTACCGCCGTTCCCTGCACTAACACCAAATGATTCATTCCTTAATACCACTCCCTATTCATCTACTCCCTTCACATAATTCCCTTCTCTAACACTGTTTCCTCATCTAACATGTCTTCCTCTCTATTCATCTACTTCCTTCAGATAATTCCCTTCTCTAACATGGTTTCCTTCTCTAACAATGTCTCCTTCTCTATTCATCTATTCCCCGAAATCTTACCGTTCTCTAATCCGTACAGTGACACCCGGCTTCTATTGAAGACGAATGAAGCCCTAATGAAGCTGTCCAGGTGATTATCCGCACCTAATTAATTAGATAGGATGGTGTCTGCGTCATTGATACTTCCAAATTGCTATGATCCATCAGTGCTGTAATTGCCTGCCCTCGTGGAGTATTGTAGGTTAATAAACCTGCAGCCATAGCATTGGTACATAATCAGTACATCTTAATTGTATGAAGTTATGTTGAGCTTATTGTAACACTCTTCATTTTTCCCTTACCTGCTTCTCTACTAGTTATTCTCGAATTTTGTTTCGCCCCCTCTCTCTCGATCTCCCGCTCGCTCTCCTTTTACATTTTCGCCTCGCTCTCCCACTCACGTTCCTACTTTCCCTTCGCTTTTCTTTTCTCTCTGCCTTACCTATCGTTCTTCCTCACACTGTCCCTCTCCCTCTTCCCCTCTCGCTCTCTCTCTCCTTTTCCCTCTCACAGTCCCTCTCCCCCTTCCTCCTCTTTCCTTTTCCTTTCTCCTCTCTCTCCTTTTTCCTCTCACTGTCCCTCTCCCCTTCCCCCTCTTTCCTTTACCTATCGCCTCTCTCTCCTTTTTCCTCTCACTGTACCACTACTAACCTCTCCCTCACGCTCTGGCGGCCGTTGTCAGAAACATCGTAAAGTTAATGCTAATGTTAATGCTAAGATAGCACTTACGACTAATGTTAATGCTAAGACTAATTATTATTTTAGACTAATTAATTTTGTTTCTGACAACTGGCCCCTGATTTGCTACACATGACAGCCATGCTCACTACGCAGGTACCCTCACCTGCACTCACACTAAAACACTCACTCACTCACTACACCTTGCGCTTGTAGTCTGAGTTTCCCCGTATATCGGCTAACTGTTGAACGTGCTTTTGCGTGAGAATCGGGTTTACTAACAACAGGTGAGAACAGGTGCTGCCATTCTTGCGTTGCCCACACCGAGCAAGAGTGCAGGAATAACGAACCATTCGATCGCAACCTTGACGATTATCATTCGCTAATGAGTGAAGACATTGATTGGTTACCGTTAGTTGCCTAGCCTCGTCTCATTCACACAGGGGCTGCGGTGAGGGTTTTGATAGAGGCTTGTACTCCACTACTATGTGACTGTGCTCTGTACTACTCTGGATCAAGGCCTATAGATAAACAGGCCTATAGATAGATATAGATAGATAGATATATATAGATAGATATATAGGTTTATCTATAGGCCTTGCTCTGGATAGTATCCGGAGTGAATAATAGATCATAAATACAAACAACAATTGTTCTATTATTCACTACTGATACTATCAAGAGCTAATAAATATCTATGGTACTATATAATAATAAAATATAATAAATAATAATAATATATAATGATAATAATAATAATAATAAATAATAATATATATAATAATA